TGTTTGGGGGCTGGCCAAGTTGGGTTGGGCCGGGGGTCGGTCGGTACGTCCTCACAACTAGCCTTCGCACGGGTAGGCGTTCGATTTATTCCCGAGTAGGGAATTTTCTAGCGACCGCGTTGATTGGGCGTATCTCAATTCCACGCCCATAGGGGCCGTGTCTACGAAGCCTTCTGGTATATGCGGACACGTTAATAACCCCGACACTATATCCAGTTCGAAATTCTGTTGATGGGTTTTCGCACCACAGGAGGCCTGGGGCTTAGGGAACCTCCGGGTACTGAAGCGCTGATAGACCAAAGTCAACGGGAGTGAGGTTCCTCATATGGAGGTGGTGTAGGCACAGACGAGATGTAGAGTAGACCACTCATCTAATGTATTTTTTAGTCACAACCCCGGGGTTCGGGAACCCTGTTGCCATCATCCTACTGTATCGATTGGAACTGGTATTATATCACTGCACTATTAGTGGTAAGAATTAAAATCAAGAACACTTGGTACTTGTTATTTTAAATAACGAAGAAGACAAAATTTTGAAACTTAGGATGAATCAGAATGGTTTCAATCACACACATGGTGTTTTGGGATCCAATGGTGTATTCACAAGGGTAGAGAGCGTTTCAAAACCAGTAGTTTTGGGCGATGTTGGTATAGATCGTGTGGTAAAAAGTCCCATAAAATGATTGGTCTATCCTATATCTCGTCTGTGGTATAGGGTCCATCACGAGCATTTCATCGGCCAGCTTCCCAAGCTATGTTACAAATGGTGTTGTGGAGTTCCCGCTGTGGTGAAACTTCTTTCGCTCCACAATCAGAGTGAAAGATTAACTACCAATTCTCACTATTCCTTACTATAAGCTCCCGTTTGTATATATACAACTTTTGACTTGAGTTTAACAATCCCCCCACGTCAAAGGCACAGGTCTCCTAGGTAGCTGTACCGCCGACGAGTCCACTAGGAGGCCCAGGACGAAAAGCACAACCTTTTCTTTTCCACTTATCCTCTATACCAGAGGCGCGTAACTTCTTGCTCACGAGCAAATTTCCCCTCCCGAGGTTCCCCCACTATGCGGTACGACACGCAGAATGTGTAACATAAACCAACGGCAGTCGCTGGAGTTGTGGTGGGAGGACTCCTCGCGTGCTCCTCCTACCTCGACGCAACTCGAGCGAGACCATCTCAGTCGCATAGTGGGAGAACCTCGGGAGGGGAAATTTGCTCGTGAGCAAGAAGTTAAGTGCCTCTGCTCTACACTGTAAGTCCTGACACAGTGTCCACCAGTTTGGATTCTCGGTTCGAGAATTACAGTATCTGAGGACTGTGAATACGCCTCCGTCTCGGCTAAATGCTGCCCCGTGAGTTTGCTTACAGCTGATGACTCGACTCGCTGAACGGAATACAGACACATAACGTATAGATACTTAACAAGGACATAAAATAGAATGTAAATTTTATCAACATTAGTACTGTACTGTATGTATAGTTTCCATTAAATATATCAGATCATCCTACCCAGGTAGGATTATCGACCCAGGTATGTGTCGTTAAAAGACCTACTTTTGGGATGATCTAGTATTTCAATTAGTAAATATTAATGTATTTAAAATAACTGACCTTGCCCGTTTTCACAAAAGCTTCTGAAACTCTACGGTTGCGACCGCCATAGCATGTAGTGATAAGATCTGCCACACCGCAACTTTCAAAAAATGTAGCTAGTTTTCCACCAGGGAAAACGACATCCACGAATTTAATCATTTCCATGAGGCCCAATCTAATAACTGCAGCCTTTGTATTATCACCTAATCCAAGACCATCGACGAAACCAGCGCCGCAGGCTACTATATTCTGTTAAAAATGAAAAATTAAGAAATACTTAGCATGTCATTTTTTTCAATATTTTATTAGTTAGTATTCTTTCAATTACATTCTTAATGAAGTACTATATTGAAATAAATTGAAAGAACGAAGTGCCTCCTTTACTATTTGATCAGCAATAACATACGTATACAATGAGAAAGAATTACATAAGTGTAGTAACATATTTCTTATTAATATTGTGTACACGTGGAATAAAGATAGTTAAAAGACATAAAAGACTATATGTATGACATTTAATAATGCATTAACATAAAATATTCTTGATAGAAGTAGTCTGAAATATCGTTTTAGCAACGCGCAAGAAAAATTTAACAAATTTTGCATCAAATTCTTCTTAGCGAAAAAAAGGAAATTAAAAGCTCCTAGAATTTCGTTTAAAATATTGAATATAACAGGTATATAATGTGATACGCTTGTTGCCTCCCAAGGCAAGCTGTAAAGATTTTGGCTTTATGACATGGACGCTCAGTTCTATTATACTATTTTTGAATGCTTCGTTTTTTAATATCCTTTGTTAGTTAAATCTCTTTGTAAACCGATGTCACGACCCAGAAAGATGTTTTATAGATGCAGAAACTCTACGTTTCTGCACCATGTGCCTTTCTAATGCCCACTAGAAAACATTCAATAGTATACAATTGACGTGTCATAAAGCCACAAGAGACACATGGGCAATTGAGTCCCGTTAGAGTCCCAATCACCTCTTGGGCCTGACTCTAAGGCCACGACGCCATATCCCCACCCTGCCAATTTGGAAAGTCTAGGGTGGGGGGTATGCTCGCGGCCCATGGAGGGGAGGACTGTCCAAGGGATAGGAATTCTCTGATTGGAGAAGTCGTTAATACCCACACTACAAAATATCGTATAAATTAAGATTTCTTTTCACGCATGATATAGTTGTATACTACTCTTCAAGATAACTAATAAATGTTACACATAGTTAATATACAGTTGTATACGGAGTGATTCACCTAACGTGACGACCTGAAATAACTCGTAAACTATTCGCTGTACGAAATATTGTATGAAGCAAAATTTGCATGATTTCAAGGGGGACATACACGTATGTTACAATAATAATTTTTTTCTCTACTATTTTTATACATAAATTGCCATGATTTTCGGAAATTAAGAGAGCTTAAAAGCTGAGTAAATAAATATTAAGGTGTAATATGTCTAAAATGAGTATTCATTGAGATATTTACGATAAAAGTTCCATTCTGTTGAAATCGAATTTCCACAAAAACATAGAAAAGCATATGTATTTTTCTACCGTAAATTTAATTTCAATAAAATAGAACTACAGCTTAATATTTATTTACTCAGCTTTTAATGCTCTCTTAATTTTCGGAAAGATGTACACGGTATTCCATTTAAAAAAGTCATGGTGATCTTCAAAAATTTATGTATAAAAACAATGTAGAAAAAAATAATTATTGTAACATATGTCCCCCTGGAAATTCTGCAACTTTGCCTTCATACACTACTTCGTACAACGAATAGTTTACGAGTAAATTCAGGTTGTCAAGTTAGGTGATTCGCCCTGTATAGACATTTATGTATATGGATACTTGCTTCTCTCCAACGAACTGGAGAGAGCACCACGATTATGGGACATATTACTATTCAAATCCACGACGCAACAATACTCAATATATAGTCGGGGCCACGATATAGCGAGGTCGTAAAATCGGTCAGACGTCAAAGTAAACATGTTTTAGCCGCCGAGACCCGAAAATTGACAGAGATACGAGCAGATAAGTACTTGAAACCATTGTCAGGACCGTACGAAGAATTCTTGTATCCAGCGAAAGTCAACTGATTCTAATATACTTACTGAAAACTGCATGCAGCTAGGACAAATTAGGGTTTCTCCCTCTGGGGGAAGCCGCTTTTGGAAGTACGGTTACAAGTAAAGGTCTTATTGAGGTCTTTAACATCTTCATTTACCTGCTCGTGTTATATACAGATAGAAAATGCAAAAGGATTGTGTAGCTTTAATATTAACATATTTTCCATTTGTAAATGAAATACCATTTTCTACTTGAAGTACCAAATCATATGCTACCATTTGTTTATTGTTGGAACCCTCAAACAGACTGCAACACACGGCCTTGAGTGCCGCAACATCAATCGGTGCCGACTCTTGAGAGTTTAATTTACGACCTCGCTATATCGTGGCCCCAACTATACACGTGCATATCGAAGTATACGAACGTGTTTGTCGACGAACCAACGACCCAGATAAAAAGCGACATATTGTTAGTGAAAAGAGCGATAAGTTTTGTGTTGCAATACAAAGCATATCCATATGGGATACTATTGATCGGCAGAGCAAAGTTGAGGCTTCTGATGTCACCGCCTAACCAAATAAGCGGAAAATAGGCGGTTAGGCCATCCCCACTACTCTTCGGTCTTACACTGCCGCCGCTTGAGGGGAAGTTTTGGTGCAGTAAATGGTTTAGACAAATGGTTTTCCATTAGCTGTCGATAATAAAAGGAAAGGAAATTTTAAAGATTGCATCGATTATTGTTTGAAAAGTGTAGCGTGGCAATCAGAACGTTAACACGTTCGTTGCCGCTGACGCAGCATATACGGTCCAGAATGTATTGCCCAACGTGCTATCGATTTTCTGGTGTCAGCGAACGTGTTAAAAACAGTCGAGGACTGTGACCGCCATCGACAAGGAAAGAGAATAGACGAAACGAGAGTAAGCGAGATGGACGTAGTGCGTCAAACAGCGACGGTTAGAATCCGGCACTTGACAGGGATACCGTAAGTGTTGCGATGAATATCGAAATTTTCAATTTCTCTAATTTTCATCTGATTTTTATGAAAAAAGTACTTAAAAAAAAGTATTAAAAATTAATGTACTCTCACAAATACTGAAGTTTAGCAATATTACGATACACTTACCTTTAATGCTCCACAACATTCAACTGAATCAACATCTTCAACAACTACAACTCTGAAGTATGGCGTTTGAATTATGTCCCTTAGTACAGGAGCCATAGTTTTGTCCTTGCAGCCTATACGTTAAGTAATAACAATATAACATTTATGAGAAATAATGTTAACAGTTTAATTTCGTTGCAAATATGTATGCAGGGTGGGGTACATCTAAACATCTTCGCTGTTTATAGATACATAAAAAATCCGTTTAAGACGAAGTTGAACTGAAGAAATGAATAAAATGATTAAAGAAAAATCTCTTTAACAAGCGCCTCTGATGTAGGAGGCTGTATCCTCGCCTCACGCATATTGATAGTGGGGGAACCGGAACACTGGTAGTGGAAGTCGTGAAGCGACAGCGAGGAAGAAGTTGCCGAGCCTGTTCTATGGCAGAGTTGCTTAACTTCTTGCTCACGAGCAAATTTCCCCTCTTGAGGTTCCCCCACTATGCGACTGAGATGGTCTCGCTCGAGTTGCGTCGAGGTAGGAGGAGCACGCGAGGAGTCCACCCACCACAACTCCAGCGACTGTCGTTGGTTTATGTTACACATTCTGCGTGTTCGTACCGCATAGTGGGGGAACCTCAGGAGGGGAAATTTGCTCGTGAGCAAGAAGTTAAGCGCCCCTGGTGTAGAGCAAGAAATAACCTTAAAAAGATACTTCTTTTTATCAGTTTGTTTATCTTTTAAAATAGCTTAACATCGCTTTAAACAGTTTTCTTCATATAATTTTTCAGTGTTCTCAAAATCTCCGCATTATTTTAAAAAACTTATTTTACAGGTCAAAATTCAGAGAATCCAGTGGTATTTTTTAAAATTCATCTATGGGTGGGAACAACGTGAAATTGGTATTTGAAATTTTAGAAAGAATATTCCATTAACTTTACAATTAGTGTAAGATCAAAGCATTATCTTTAAACTGAGCCTAAATATTGCGGTTAAAGTAATGGATGTATCGGCTCATTTCGTACAATTCTTCAAAACTTTAACACCGAATATCTCGGAAATCGTTCCAGCTAAAGCTTTACACAGTTTAATTTCTCAAGATACCAAACAAATTCTGTGAGTTTGAAAAATATCGATGACTATACCTTTCTGTACGTTTCAGCGTGGAATGTCTTGTCTACAAAATGTATCATCTAATTTTATCACTTAAAATATTTCTGCTATATTTAAAATTTCATAAAAATGTTTTCTACAAAATCATCCTCTGCCAGCTTCAAGCGTTAAGTTCAAACAATTCAGAGAGCCACTTATTCGTGATAGTGATTCTAGACGGAAAAATAAGGTGAAAAAGGAGAATAAAACAATTTTGGATACAGCTTCACAGCTACTGAGACTCAGTGTCCGCCAAAAATCAGTGAATATAGAACATCTCCTAACCCTTTCGATACTACGGGTGACTATAGTCATCCATTGATTTACGCTCGCTGTGTACCGGTGACTACAGTCACCCACTGATATTTTGCATCGGTTTACAATTTTAGCCGAACACAGTATCGGTGTTTTATCTCTATGGTTACCGATTTTTCCTGTTCCGCGAAGAGAGTATCTGTAGAACGGAAGCATATTCGCAAACGACACAACCGTATCGAAAGGGTTAACATCAGTGGAGCATGGTTTCCAGCTCACCCTGCAGAAGCTGCGGAAAAATATGCTATAACATTCAACTTTTTAAACGTTCTTACAACATTTCAAAGAAAAAAAAAAAAAAAACAGTATCTTTTATGGAAAGTTACGGTGCACACACTTGTAAGGCGCTGTGCGACGCGCCTAGCAACGACCGCGGGACCCGAGCCGCAGGGGGCCTTAGACAAGGATGAGCGCAGGCAGTACCCCCACCCTAAGGCTTGCACGGACCCAACGGCCGATGAACCATATAAAAACGGGAAAAAGGGCAGCGGCCCCACACAATATCGTACATAGCCATCGACGAGTGAACCGACGTTATTTTAATATCAGCTATTTTAAGCGCCTGTAATTCCTTAGTCTTACACACTTATGGATTTATTATTTAGGTATGCTTGTGTACTGCAAAAAATATTAATCCCTCCTGGGTTTTGATATTCTGTTGTGGCTTTCAACGAGTAGGCACATTTAATGTTTAATCGAGAATTTCCTTTCTAAAGTGACGCAGGATTGTCTACGAAGCCGAATAATTGCAGAATTCTTTACCACAGTTTCTACGAGATAAGCTGGAAATCATCTATTGGTTCTGAAGATTACTGAACACTCTCAGCTACGAGTTGTCCTACATTCGCTGAATGCCGCAGGCAAATTTTTAGCTGTTTATAACTAAAAAATGAAAGCGAATTTGAAAACTTTTTATTCTTGTTGTTTGCCATACTTTCTTGTCAAAAATTACCACTAAAAATTTCTCCAATCTGATATAAAACACCCTGGATTTACATATCGCACCTACATATGTATATAGAATAAAGTTTTCTAAACAGAACCGCGCGTGCCTAAACTAATAGTAAAAATTAACGAAAATATTATTGTTGGATGACCAACCTATTGGTTCATGCACTGATAAACGCGACCGGGATGCTGTACCCAAAAAGATTTTAGTCGTGCTTCTTTTTGCTTTAAGTTCAAAGAATGGGCTTACTTATATTTAGTCATCCCGTAACCCACTCTCTATCAAACAACTACAATATAAAGGACACCTCAAACCAGCGGGGCAGAATTCTTTTCCTGTCCTGACGACAGAACGACTCGTGTATTTCTATACTTGTATCCAGAACTACACGTTCGAAACGTCCGAAATATATTATTATTATTATTAAATAAAAATCAGTCTTGACGTGTCTAGTCCGGACTTCACCATTATTTGCATATGTGCAGATATGTTTTAACCCTAGAGCGGTCTTCGGGTCTTTTCTGACCCACCGTCTTTTTATATTTTTAGTAATTTTTGCTGTTATCAAATTTACGTTCCCTAACATTATTTTAAACGTTTACTGTCTAGGTTCATATGTCGCGTTGGAAACAAAAATTGTTTCACATAAGGTCTTAGATCCTTTTTGACCAAAAAGCCTTAAGTGTACAGTCAAAACGAAGAACGCAGTAGGGTTAAAAATGTAATGAATATTTACCAATAGTAGTTTCACAAAACATTTCCTCAGCTACTTCAGAGGCTAAATTTGCTCCCATTAAGACAGAAACAGGAATGTGAAGCTGCTTCGAAATTATATGTGAAATAAGCTCGATACCACCTCCTTCTTTCTTATCAAAGCCCTGCAAAATAATGATCAATATATGACACATACTTTACAATTACACCATTTTATAATTACCAAAGTTAGTTAACATTTAAAATAAAAAGAGACCTTCATAAATTGACTTAAACGTTTACCTGCGTATCGTATAGACTAAGTACAGGATAGACCTATTATGTCATAGGACCTTGTGTCACATGTTCTAAAATACCGATCATGAAAAAATTCAGTTGTTACATCCTCTACGATTTTGAGCGATGAGTTTAAAAATTGTACTGTATGGAAGAGCTATAGTGAGGTCACAAATCACGAAAAGATCGCGAAAACATCGATTGATCTAGCCGCACGCAGGGCTGTACGCGTATTCTAGAAGCTCCTCAAATCTCAAGTCACACGCGCCGAGCGAAAGACTTGAACCGTCGGACAACGCTTCTAGTGGCCAAGTCGCTGCCATGACTGAATCAGTATAGACCTACATCTATCTTATTTTGTTTTCATCATTTAGGATCCTGATTCTTTTCTTATGGTAATTGATATTTCGGCTCCGCTTTAATCATTGAGACAATGGAGGCAAGGAGGGCGTGTCATACCTTGGTCAAAAGCTTACGCCTCAAGAATTACAACAGTGGTGGTCCGGATTGCCGGAAACTCGTAGTGTTGCGACCTCATTAGGGCGCAACGAAGCCTCGGTTTGGCGGATTATCGCAATAAAATGTGTTAGTCACCGTAGACCCCCCGTGGACGAACCACGGCGGCTATAAAGATTGAAGATATTACTTTTATCTACCGATTAAAAAATACCGGTATTTATTTCGGTTTCGTTGTAGCTTCATTGACATAATACCGGTATCAAAATCATACCGGTTTGAAGTCCCTGATACTAACAGTAAAGAACGATAATGTATCCTCGTACGTGTGATACACACAATTTCATTTAGGTACGTGAAAATTTTTATAATTTATTTTGAGAAAACGGATGCACTTGTAATATATTGTTCCTTTCAAATCTTTTATCCTCTCGACAAGTAGAATATGCAAAAATTTTTAAAAAAGTCAACATTAATTTTCAACGTATGTATATTCTGCCATACGTTTATAACTTAAACAAAATGTTATATACAAAAGTTGTTTGTTTTCTAACGTAGATTACAGAAATGATTTGGCTTACTTAGAATTTCCTTTGAAATTTTTTATTCAACCCCCGTTTCATCCTCTATAAGCGTAAATGTTAATCAGTATATATTTGTCATAAAATTTGAGACTAGAACGATTAAAATCAATTGAGTAGTTTTTGAAATACTGATGTATAAATTGTTTTCACTATCATATAGTATATGTACTTATGTTTACAAAATTATAAGCATGAACGAAATATAGCATGTTTCATATATTTAATTGTACCTTCGCTCACTATTAATGTTGTAAACAATAGAAGTGATAAGAAAATGATAATGCCTTAACATCATGTGACACAAAAATCCATTACACATTAGGTCTATCTAGTACAGGGTGTTCCATACAGGATGTTCTATACAGAGTGTAACTATTGGTAGAAAATTTAGGGGGTGATTCTAGAAGCCGATATAAGACGAAAATGTAGAATAAAAAAATTGCGTTTGAGGCTTCGTTGTTTAGTTATTACCGTTTAAAAATATGACTGTAGCCTAGCAAACCTCCTTACACCAACGAATGTAGGTCACGTGAAGACAAGGGGGGTACAGTGATCCTTAAACCCAACGGCACATACTCAGTACCTCGTACGAGTTGTCAAGAAAAAGACAAAAAAATTCGAATTCGTAAACTGCATTACCGACTTTTACGACACTACTGTTTGCTTCACCACGACACAGGTGTATGTCCGAAAATTTTTTAAACGTGTATTCCATTGTGTACTGCAACCGCAACATACAGTATGCACACAACAAACACAATTGTAACGACGATTAACGCCTATTCCCAGCTGCAACGATAACGCTGGAAATCGCACTAAGCAATTTTAGAACAAAAACACAACCCCACTCTTTGTAAAATCTAAATTATAAAAATCACACCGAGATAATAAGCAAAGGGCAGTCTCTATTCTCTACCAGTAATTACTCTTATTAAACGTCTCCTTGCCCGAATCCATTTACATTTTAAGGCATAACTTATATAATTCCTAAATTACAATAGACAGATGTCTTCCGGACTCCTACAGAATATGTTCTGGTGTACTCCGGCATGAAGTAGAATAATCAAGTCTGAAGTGAATTGGTATTATACCGGTATTTTTCGGTTTTTCTTGTAGAATCTATAGGGATTATGAAGGTATAATCACAGACGACGTACAGAATAGACCCTACAACTTAAGAGACTTTTTCTCAGGGGCTTTGGGGCCGAGAAGACCCTTACCACTTTCGTGTCGCTACCAACGTTACCGATTCAGCATAGAATAAGATAACAACATTAGTAGTGGTTGGAATTGGAATTAAACGTAACAATGAAATTACAAATAAAAAAGTAACGTAATTGTTTATTACTAGATGATTCAACCCATGCGCGTGTTCTATTGTTGTTAAAAGATCGTGAACAGTTCTACCCAAGCAGTCCAATATATGTATGTATCTTTATATGCAAATTTAATAAAAGAGGATTTTTGACATCTGTCGACTTTACCATCTTTGATGGTTGGATTGTATGTAATTCTTAAATTCATCGCTTTATATCGTAGAGGACATAACAAAAACTCTGATTTTTTACACGATCGGTATTTCAGAACGTTGGACACAAAAATACATTAGGTGCGAGGTCTATCCTGTATCTTGTCTATGGTATAATACCGGTATTTTACATTTCTGTAAAATGTGGTTCATGCAAGACGGCGCATCACCGCACTATAAAATAGAAGACCAGTATACTTTTTTGTAGACAATTGCGGTGTGCACATTTTTTAATTACTTATCCGGGCAGACTGATGATCTTGAGAAGACATTAATTCTCTCCACTCAGAAATCGCATAGGGCGAGCTCTTGTGGATTTCTGCGAGTAGGCAGATTTAATGTTTAATCTACGATTTTTACGGCGCCGAATATCAGTTTTCTTCTCTACCGACTTGCACAAGGTAAGGTGCTGGCTAAGGTGTTGGTTTTGTGGATCAGTGAACCCCCCTTGTCTTCACGTGACCTACATTCGTTGGTGTAAGGAGGTTTGCTCGGCCACAGGAATATCTTTAAACGTTAATAACTAAACAACGAAGCCTCGAACGCAATTTTTTTATTCTACATTTTCGTCTTATATCGGCATCTAGAATCACCCCTTAAATTTTCTACCAATAGTTGCCGAACATCCTGTATAGAACTCCTCTATGGTATAATTAAATTAAGTGTTTTTTTAACAAATTAGTAAACATTGTAGAATATGATTTTATTACCAACGTTAAATATTCTATTTTTTATACCGAATAGCCTAATTCACTATGTTCGGCCAAAGTATTTTTGTTGTTTCTAAGAACGAAGAAATGTTTGAAAAAGCAATTACCTATAGGATTTTTGATCGCAAATATTGTAGGGCAAGTATGCACCGTTTACTTTTCAAGCTATCCAAGAATTTTAACATTTATAATATATTAACGTCTTAACGGTATATTTTAAGTATCCTCTAATAAATGAAAGACCAACAGCTGTAGATTTAATTTTTCCCAATAACGTAGCACATATTTTATTTATAAATTGATGAGGTATCACAAAAATCAAGATATCTGCATCTTTAGCAGCTTCTACTACATCAGGAACTGCAACCTAGAATATAAGCATTATACACATCATTAGTTAACTTTTGCATACCATTTCAACTACTAAAATGCATAGAAGTGATACATTTTGTTTAAAAGAAATAATGTCATGTGGGGAATTATTCTTTTCTCAGTTTATCTACAACTTACGCCGCATGACATACATACATATCATATTAAAAATATAAATAAATTTTTACATTTACATACATATAATGAATATTTCATAAGAAACAGAATGCGTCGAAAAATTATTCTCACAAAAACTGTTTTGTATGGACGGAAATGTGTTGTATAAATAGCTTTTCTGCAGGTAAAATCATAAATGAAATTCAATTCAATCGTTTGCATCAACTCAATCTTTTTAAATATAATAAAGTACTACACTGTTTTATTCATAATGCAATGGAATTTATTGAGCCAAGTTGAACGAAGTTCAATACCAACAATTAACGAATTTATACTGTGAATTTAAGTAAGTTTGATACTTAAGAGATATCACATGTCATTCAGCTTGTTTTTATGGCAAGAATAAGATACATAAGAAAATTGAAAGCGACCTTGAATAGTTATTTAATAAATATAAATAGAAAAAAATCAAATTTC